ACCAACACATATTTACAAATCCAACACAGCAAAATATAATTTTCCCTCCCTCCAAGAAAATTCAACAGGTGTTTATCATCTTATATTATCATAGTATCGCGTAGTGCAATCTACAAAAAACTAAACAAATAATACCGATGGAGGAGATTTAAATTATTAATTGATGAGTATCATATCGAATTTGACATTCGCTATAAGCTATAAGGTTTTCAATCTTTTCAAACAACATAGATCAGAAAATATTAATTTTTTGGTGTTTTTTATTTTCTACTATCTGTTTTCATAATAATAATAATAAAAATCTCAAATATAAAAATTAAGCATAAAAATTTAAATAACTGATCTGAAATAAAAACATAAGAACTGAACTCCTAAAAGTATGCAGATAAAAAAAAAAATAAATAACTTTATCGTATCTCTACTCCCTCTAAACTTAAATCTGTCAAAATTATTTTTTGGTAAATATTTACATAAAAATTACCATTTTTTTATAACCGTATCATACTTTTATTTAAATACTCCGGCTAAAAAGAATGAGTCTCCAAAATACTCAAATTATCACAAAAATACATATTTTCAAATTGTTTTTCTACTCCTATATTTACAATGTAATTAATGTGTTTTTGCATGATAATTTCTAAAATGCTTACGTCATCCCACGCCCTCGTAAAAATACGAAAAAAAAAATCAAATAATGTGATTGTAATACTATAATCACAATAGCGTAAAACGCAAAATATTAGAAATAATTATTATACAATACAATATTATTATGCAAAAAGACCTTTGCAGATATTATATATAAAAATTTCGAATTACTTGAAATGCAATTTGCAAACATTGTTCACATTTTTTTATAACAGAAGTTTTTTTTTAAAACAAATGAATACGTATACATCACGTGATACTTTATTCGTATCTCTTCGCATCGCAATTATAGTTCTAATTTATATGTATAAGGAACTACTAACTATATTAAAAATTATTTGCACTTGTATAACTAAATTTAGTTGAAATATTTGACCAGTAGTAAGTTTTTTATCTTTAATAAAATAAAGTGGTTATTCCTTATAAGAACGATTGAATTTGAAATGATTCATTTTGAACATTTTTAAATGGCCGCGATGAACAAAATATATAAATAAAAGATTGTTTTAAACATCTCATAATTGAATAAAACTATACTGTTTTTGTGATATAAAAGCAAAGTAAAATAAAAAAATTAGATAAATCCTCTCACTATAGTCAGTCTCTGTCAATCTTCTTGGATTAAACATTTAAACAAAAACAAAGTATATTTTGTTTTCTTTTTTGTTTTCATGTGAAAAAAATTAAAAAATTAATTTGTATATGAAAAAAAAAACTTATTATAAATATTTTACATGCAACTTATACAATGTTTGATACTAAATCATTTTAGGTCTGCACCTACATATTATACATATATATATTACATAAGAATATTATTAAATACATTTTTCCAATTGCAGTCCCAATATAATATATCTATATAGTCAATATATTTAAATTTAGTTTTATATTMAACTATATGAAAACGTCTTTACATGTTATAGAGACTATAGTATGGAGGTGCAAGACTAGACATATTCATATATTAAAAAAAATAACTTAAAATAATTATTTATAAACGATTGATACACAAMTTACAATGGTTTATAATATTAATTTACTGTAAGTGAGTGATGTTATAGTTATTTGCCGAACGCGCATTCTTTATTTACTACTCATTATGAAAATTAGACAACAAAAACACAAAATCACATTCATTCTGACCGGAATAACACACCTATAAAACGTAAAAAGTGTGTGCCAGAGATGTTTTCATACAAATACGTTTGATGGAAATATACCATTATAATTTATAGGTACTTTAACTTTATGCTGAAATAGTATTCATAGAACCATAATGTCAATTTTATATTATCAATAATCTCATAATTACTCATAACCTACATCAACGTAGATAATAGTGTGTCATATTTGTATAATGAATTCAGTGTCAATGATATGAATGATAAAATATCGTGTTGATGATACATTAATAATGTATAGGTAGTTATAATATTAATAACATTAAGACGACAAATTTTAGTTAAATTACAGCGCTTAAAGAGTACCTACTAATAATTGTAAATTTGATATTACTCAACAACAAAACCAAATTAGATACCTATAATATAAAATTTTCCATCAATCATATCAGATGTTAATTTTAATACTATCATATTATTATACTATATAGTTTTATTTCATTTTATTTAAAAAAAAAAAATAATAATCATGATTAACTTTGAAATGTGGTAGAAGACAAGAATATGGTATAAAACAAAATATGTGTGTATTTTAATTTAATTTAAAGAAAAAGACGATAACCAAAAACACTTTTAAGATTATGTTTGCCACTCGTTTACCTGATACCACACACATCAAAGGAAATAGTTTACTATAAAAATACCTATAGCCTTTTAGGAGATGACTACTAGTAATTCGTTTCGTTAATAATAATAATATAAAGTCAGCATGGGCTACAGAGTCAGGTCCGGCTGTAATGTAAATCGCTTATCTCTTCGATGATTTTAGAAACGAATAGTAATTTATTTTCGTCATTATATAACGTATATCTCAAATCAACTCATTAAAAAAATGACTTTAACTGGCTAAGCTAGGATAGGACCTGCATGATGGTGGTAATTCCTTGAGTAATTTTTTTTTTTTTTTTAAGTAATGTAGGTCATACAATTAGAATCACTTACACAACTATAGAAACATTATCTCTCAAAAGTACCATTCCCATCCGTTTAAAGGTGGTAAATGAAACTTAAGTAACTCTTATTAGTGAACCAAAAGATTTCCTTCTTACATACAGAAAGTAAACTTAATTCTAAAATCAATACACCCTTAGGCTATACGTTGCTAGAATTAAAAGAATAGTATATAGTTATAGGTAATGCATACAAATTATAATAATTTTTAAAAACTGAGAACGATAAAAAAAAATCTATAATTTTAATCTAAATAGGTTAACAGTATGTGTTTTTTAAAACTTAACTGTTAGCGAATATCAGGTCAGGATAGAATCAACCGCAAACAGCCCATAATTCAAGGTTTTATTAGACACTTCAATTAATTACGCCATTATAAAATGTTCATACTGCAGGCTACACCTGAATTCTATACCTATACAACTCCTAACTTGAAAACTAACTTAGTTTAACAATGAATACCACATATGTTGAATATAACAAATGTTCAATATATTGTAATAATAATTATCCAGACAGAGAACTAAAATCGTTACCAAATCCAAAAATAAAAAATATACAACACAAGTATTCACATCGTAAAAGTATTACATTTAAAATAATATATTTATTTAAATGCACATTATTATATTTTTTATCGAAAAAATCACTCGGTTGGTTTTGATTTCTGATTGTTTTGACTTACACCTTTGTGATAAATTGTGTATCATTTAGAAAACTGAATAGGATAAATACACTGCCTCATGTAATGAGATAAAAATATGAGGTTTACGATGAACACATTTTGATTCATGACATAAGTATTGAATTTTCGCTATAACTTCTTTATAAAAGCTTGTATAAAATCATGATAACAATATTTAAAAATAAAAATGAAAATTTAGATCTGCACAAACTAAATATTGATCAAAAGTAGATTTTAGTTTATTTAAGTTTCGTATGTATTTATTAATTGGACGATCAGTTGTGCAATATTCTCGTGCATATTTATCATTGTTTATTCCTAAGAAAAAAAAATAAATAATATGTAACAATGGACGTGTTTGTATTCCCTCCAAATGGAATACTCACAATGCACTTGAAGATATACCTAGACATCTGTCAGCAATTCGTGGGGAGGGGGGAAGTGTGAATTCTATATAAACGTTTTCTGCATTAAGCCTTTTGCACACCACATAAAATATTGAATATGCACGGAAAAACGCAAACACAAAATATAAAATAAAAAAGCGTGTGTGCTTACAGCCACGGATAAAATAAATGTACATCCGTTATTTTATAACGAAAATAAATAAACGAAAGAGGAGATTTTTAAAGCGATTTTAAATGAAATCAAATAATATTATTTTGATATTAATTTTACGTTATGATTGTATTCAGTCAAAAAGTAAAAATGTAGGAAAACATAACATAATAGGTAACACGTATAGCACTTGTGAACTACTAATGAAAACGAAAATTAATAATATAAATAAACAAAACGAGTATATAAAAAGGTATTGAAAAATGCAATGATTCCAACTGAATACTCTTAAGATTATATTTCGGATTTAGGTATAAATAATTATTTTTGAGAATTAAGGCTTRATTTTTAAATTGCCATTTCATATTATTTTTTTAACTAATTAAAATATTATTATCTTTACGAACTATAACCGTTTATTTATACTTAAAAATTAAAAATAAATGATTCTGAATTTTTAAATTTGAATAATCAACAATAATGAACACTAAACAGTAAACAGTTATAATATGTTTGTCTTTCATATTATTATGTACTTACACTTAATATACAGAATAGTTTTTATTATGATTTAATTACCTGGATTAATGAATATAATTAGTATTGTGAGCATTGCATGAAAAATGCATATCAGACGGTTTTCCATCAATAGCTTAAAATAAACTAAACCTAGGTAACACATTTGAAACACGAGTTTTCAACAATTTATGGTATCCGACGGTAAAAATACCTATTAAAAATGTTATYGGAGTGTCTTTTTAGAATAATTATTTTGTACTAAACATTATTATTGGTATAATTAGGTCACTTGGATTCGTTTACAACTAAAACCATTGTATGAACTAATATATTTTATCAACCTACGTATTATACTTGAAATGAAAGTTGTACCTAATCGCATTTTAATCGTTGGTTGAGAGATACAATATGAAATATATATGATAATTATTTTTCAAATCAATCTTGAAACGTACCTCAGCACAAAACCTATGGCAACGGCACTGTCACGATGGATTTTCTTATCAGTTGTTGCCACGCAGATGTGTTTCTGTCACGCAATGTGTCGTTAAATCCCAGATTCGTCATCTTCAAGATCGTACTATCAACAATAATAATATGCTATTTCTTTCTGCGATATGTGGACACCTGTTACATAAATTAAAAACATATGTTATGAATTTAATAGCAATTCATTTAAAGCAAGAACAAAAAAAATATTTTAAGATTAGAGGTAGGTATAGAAATTATGTAATGCCGCAGAAATATAATAGTGTAATAGCGTGTACGTTATAGTGTTTCTTGGTACATTTGAATTCCTTTGAATTTTCACCTTTGTTCAGAAAATATAAAGGCTAAGATAAAATAGTTATAATCATGACAAAAAATGCTTCTTTTATTTTAAACTTGATTGATTGTAAAATGAATTATGTTAATATGGTGCCAAAAAAAAATAGTGTTTTAGATATTATTATTATAATTTATAAACATGAAACTAAACTAATAGAAAAAGTTATTTTTGTTGTAAGTCTCATAAAACCTTGAGGTACTAAAAACTATTAATTCAAATTTGTGCTTGTTTGGTTAATCTTGATGATCCTTGCACGACCGTATAACAGATAAATTACATTGTTTTGAGTAGGGTGGCTCACATACATTTTTTAGTTTCATAAAATTGTTATAAATATATTATTTTTTTTTATATAATATATAAATACATTAAAATACAATGAATTTATCGAAACGTTCTATAATTGAAATAAACTAAATCTATAGTGTGTATTTTATATAAATAATTTATTTTAATTACCGATCATTAATATACAAGAATATCATTACAAAATTTGTATTTAACAACATCTGCTAATTTTGGAATTTTACTTCGTTACAAAAACACACCAACAATTAATATATTATTAAATTCTAGGTGTAGCCATATAATACTATAAATATTTGTATTATTTATTCGTCAGTAATTTCTCGATCGAAAAATAATAATAATTATTATTATTTTAATTTATTATACAAATGATTTTATAATAATTTTATTTACTTTATGCAGTCATTGAGCTCTATTTTTTAAAGCAATAAAGATACATAGTTTAAATTAAAAAATGGTTTGCTCTCGTATATTAATTTAAGTATTTCATTAAACTTTTATTTAAAAATATATCAATGTATAACGTAGTACAGAATAGTTTGTTAATGGTTTAACTATTATGTGTAGGTAGAGTATCTATCCCAATTTAGTTCGCAGCAACAGAATAATATTTTTTTATGGGTGTTATAAGAACTTACATTTAATCAATAGATAAAGATAGTAGTATGATTTGGAGAGTTCAAACATATACTATCCCTTAGCCCCTAGCCTTTGCGAGTCAATGCCACGCGTTGCCATTCCCCTCAATACCATGCCGTTCCGTGCCAATMCGCGTTGTGCCTTCCTCTATACCTATACATTTTTTATCACTTCCCGATCACACACCATACTACCCCTTTTATTTCCCCTTATTCGTACGTATATTAATMATATTTAACATAAATAAGGTTAGAATCGATCTCATCCAACACCATACCCCTCCTATCATATCAATGCCCAGTGCATGACACACCATCCCCCAATCCTCCTTCAACTATATTACAAAATATAAAAGTGAACAACTTTTAATTACTTTTTAATGATTTGTGCATAGTAAAAATAAACAATTAAACCTATTTCATCACAATATTTCATGTATAAATAAAGCAAAGTATTGTCTAGTAAATCAATTTGAAATATTTACTGAATAACTTGATAGAGAACTTATCAAAGTGGAATTACCATTCACCAGCAAGACAAACACTTTTTCAGTTTAGATCTCAACCCTAAGGTTAATAGTCGAAGTTTCTAGATGTTTATAGAGATTTCTATATGACGTGTACTATGTATATAATTCTTTACCATATGAGTAGGTAGAATAGTAATGTAAAAATTTCGATTGATTAGTAAAAAATTTTTTGATCAAAAGTTAAAGTAATAATACAACAATGTAAATAACAAAAAAAATATTTCGTTTTTATTTCAATTTGTTTACAATATGTATTTTGTATATGTATAACAAAACACCTAATGATGATTGGTTATAACTTATATGGTATACCCTTTGATGTTTTCACGACTACAGCACTAGAGGAATCGCACTTGGAATTCAAATTTTATTTTAAACTGAATAAACTTTATGTTCAGACATTTATCGCTCATTGATTGCTAACGATGTCTGAATATTAACTGTCACGGAGAATGTCGATTGTTTATCTGCTTAGCAATGGGAAATTGATTTTAATTACGCATTTATGTATATTTATTATTTTCTTAAAATCATCGGGTTTTAAAGAGGAAAAATCCAATGACAGTAATTTAATTTTAATAAAGTTGTCGTAAGACATGACAAAGTTACTGGGATTCTGTTCTCCCTTCCAACAAATAAAAAATAAAATTTTTTGATCCATTCATTCTTAATTAGAAAAGATCCACCACCCATGTGTAATAAATGTTAAGAAGACCTAACCATTCAACACATCATCCTATATTGCTCGGACCTTCAAAACATCCGAAATACCTTATCAATACCCAGCAAACTATAAGAAGCTCTTCATGAAGACAACACCATAAAAATATTAAATTTCCTCACACAATTTAACATTGTAAATAATCTTTGACTTACATGTATTTATAATTTATTCATAAGACTATTGTAACCTTTGAAATTTAATTATTAATGTAACTCACACAATGTAACATGCACACAAGGCTAATAATCTTAGATGTCGAGGTCTCCTTTTTCTTTCAATAAAAAAAAAAAAAAACAAACAAACAAAAATGTCGTAATTGGAAGTTCCTTCTATAAAACTAATAATAAAGTAATGTTAATATTTTAATTCTGAAAAATAATTTAACCGTTATTAAAAGAAATAATGTTCGTTGGAATTTTAATATTTTTAAAGCATTGAGAATTATACTTACATACTTACAATGCCAATAAATACAGATAGCCTGTAGAAAAGTTTTTTGAAATTAAAAATTATAATAATTATTTACGCACAACTATCATGGTTTAAGAGAGGYTTTTTGACCTCGCTATTATTTCAATTAAAGGATGAAATTTATAAAAATTTAGATTATGGTAATTAGTAGCAATATTTTTAGGAGCATAAACGAGAAATATTAATTTTGTTTGAGTTGTTGTACTTGTAACTATTCTTTTTTTGTATATAAACAAAAAATAAATAAATTTAATAACTTATAAATTATAATAACATATAATAATTCTAATAATTAAATAACAACTTGCATTATTTACTTTTTTACCATGGTAAAATCGTAAAAAAATTTAATTGTAATAAATAATTTAATTTATATTTAAGTATTTAGGTAAAGGGTAAAAACTAGGAGGGCYTAGTTAGACCTAAGAGCATCACTGTGGAGAGTTGTTTTAAAATTTAAAATAATTTTTTTATGATACATATTGTTTCATACAGATTAGAAAGCAACCGAGTGAGCATTTTTATGCCCATATGGCCATATATTAACTATAATATTATATTATATTGTTACTTGAGCTTATTTAAGAAGAAAAACCTTACAATATTTCAGCGCGATAATAAAACACTATTAAATATATATATATATATATATATAACATGAATCTAGCCTATATAAAATATAGACGTTTTGAAACGTTATAAAAATAAAGCAGTTGGTTATCTAACTCTGATATAATATATAAATAATGTTTTTAACGTAATATTATATTGATACWATCGATATCGAATACAAMATTTTAATAATTATTACGAAATCAACAATATGAACTATATTATATATTACCATAATATACTTGTGTTCATGAATATTTTTCATTTGCATAATGCCAATTTTGGCGTTATGTTTTATAATATAATAATTTTTATCGCACCTGACAAGGGAATACTGGAATACAATGCGTGATTATACATAAAACGAATTCGTGTCACCATTGCAAATAATTCATATTTGTTGTCGTTACACAAATATTTAAAACACGCAAGCTGTAAACAAATCCTATCAAATTGGCACATTCGACGAGTATATATGTGCTAGAGAAACCGGGAGCRTCGCATGTAATGGATGAGAATGGTATTTTCGAAGGCAAATAAAGCAACATCGTAAAAAATATAAATAAATAAATTAGAAAACCTGAGGGACCACGTTCAAAACGTGACAGTTAGCTGACACGGGCCAGAACGGATTCGTTTAAATACACGACACAGGAGAAAAAAGAAAGACGAAGGTATTGTAGATGGATTTTTGCTAGATTCCAATTTTTCTTTCTCTACCATT